GTGAAAATGACGAACGCCTCGGCCCTCCGCCGCCTTGCGATGTGCTGGCGCCTAGGTAAAAAAACCCAGGGATTAGGGCAAGGGGCGATTTGCCAGCGCCCCTGGGCTGTGAGGGCATAATTTATTTGGTGGAACTTGAGTGAGTGGGTTATGCCTATCAGATAACTATGTGATGGGACTACAGTTACAGTGGCTGATGCGAGGGTCCTTCACAGAGAGCTTCTCCTGGTCTGAATGTACAAGATTCTGCCTCGCTCCATGTGGTGGTTTCTGAAGATTAGGGGAGTGGGGTTTAGGGTTCAGGGTTTAGGGTTGGGGCCTACGTTAGGGACTCGTCTTTACTGGAAACCTCCATTACGTGATGCCAATCCAGTCATGGCAGCTATCCAAGTTGCTTGTTTAGCCGATGTTCAAGGCATTAATGCCCTCCCCTAAAAAAACTCCTGCCCTCCAGAACTATACACACTCTGATGAGTATTCAGGGGGTGGGGTGAGCTTCATGTAGCGGGGAGTAAACTCATGTAAGCTACTGCCAATATTCAAAATATGAGAGTTACCAATGGACCATTAAGGGTGATACCCGCTCATAATGAACACTCCTCCCAAAGAATCCCAAGTTGCAGAAATTCCTGGAAGTCGATTTTTCCAAGCGCCAAGACCACTTTGAAGAGGATCTCCATAATACTGAATTATAGCCCCGCTTGAGTAGATAGAATATGGCTTTGGGTATATTATAATAAGATCCCCATAAATCCCATATTCTAACTACTTAAGGGGGACTATAGTGACTGTAGGGCGGGTGTTGATGTCATCAGGGGGCGTTTATGAGGAATCCAGTGCTCAAGGATCCCATGGATCTCCTGGGCTTGTGTTTTTGTTGATATGGTTTGTACAAAGGAGTCTATTTTCGATTCCGAATGATCTAAGTTGGTTTTATTCGATTATGACGTGAACTCGCTGCCAAATAGATTTTGGAATAGATGTACCTGCTTTTTGAATACGAATTTGGATTGACTTTAATTAGATGTTGATATTGTTTAATCAGATAAAAACATCACTTGGTGTGATTACAATCTTAAACGGGCTATTAGAACTAGATTTCAATTGGTTTTAGTTGGGTTTTGAACAGGTTCTAGATTTGATCTTAGTTGCACTTGATTAGAATTTGATTGACTTTGATTAGCTGTTCATTGTACATTTTGATTTGCTTTTACTTGGCTTTTAATTAGATCTAGTTAGATCCGCTATTATTCTTTGCAATAAACCCCCTAGTAACAAATACTCAGGGGTGGTTTCTAGATGGGGGGAGCCGTTTATTCTTAGTGGGAGGGGGTCCGTTAAGTATCGTCCCTCATAAGATCCCTAATACGAACATGCGCCAATTAGTTATATGGGAAAAATTTGGTTGTATCTCACGTTTTCATCGCGTTGTGTGTTGGTAGTGTGCAGAATGGGGTGCTCAATGTTCACATCTGTGAGACAAGAACAGGTGACGCATGGGCCCTCCTCTGCAACTTAGCGTTATTCGGAGAGAGCTTTGGAATTCCTGCAGAGTCTGGTTGTGCATTTCCAGCAGACCTAGCAGCTGGCATGGCTTGAGGGTGGGGGCATACCAGAATTCAGGGGCTGTATATAGGGCTATAGCCCCCTAAAGTAGATAGAATATGGCTTTGGGTATATTATAATAAGTTTCCCACATATCCCATATTCTAACTACTCAAGGGGCACTATACATGCGTAAGGCCGGCATTGGTCCTGCATGCCACAAGTGGAAGGCTAGCAAACTGCCGCCGCCATGCCTTAGATAACGAGATACGAGGAAAAGCATGCTAAACTAGGTTGCTGTTAAGGAACTTAAGGTAAGTTACTATGGTATGGGGTATATAGTAAATAAGAGGGCTTCCTTATTATAGTAACTTAAAGATTTAGTTCCTACAATATGGTAGTTAAAAGTAGGGTTTCATTATTACCAGCAACCCAGTAAAGGTGCTGCACTGGGCAAAATTTGGCTCATCAGGTGCACATGCAGAGGGAAGTTCTTATGCAATTGTATGTGATATGTACAGAAAGGCCTATACACCTACATGTATATAAGCCTTAGCTGCGGCATGTGGTAGTCATTCATAGACAGTTCTAAGCAACTGCACCAGCCGTGGGCAGGGAGTCTTCATTAGGAGGACCCCCCGCCCTGTAATAGTGGTATATTAGGAATATAAGAGGACCCTAATATAATCCTTATTATCCCTTATAGTCACTATTACTGTGTGGGGGGTCCACCTAAAGTCTTCATTAAAAGGGTCGGCATGGTCGGCGGCTGCATGGAAGTGGACAAAGTGACCTTCTCCTAACGCCACCCTCAGAGATTCTCTCGCAGCGTGTTGCTTTCTTGAAATCCTTGCAGTAGGAGTTCTTGGGATATCTGTGTCTTTTAGGTGATCTTTGGAGGCCCTTTTATGTATTATCTAGGGCATATACTGAGAAACCGTGATCTGTGCACACCTCTACTGCCTTTCGACGCTGGTGTCCGAGGCAAGCCAAGTCTGGCACCGCAACGTTCTTCAAAGCCGGCCTCGACTTCACTTGTTTGGCTGCTTTGCTTGCCTTACTGGTTACATATGGGTTGTACGGGATCACATAGATGATGGAAAAGAGAATGGAGACGACTATTTAGGGTTGGGGGTTGATAGGGCATTAGGGAATATATTATGTAGGGACTACAGGGGTTACATGCCCTTGTTCTCTACTAGGAGCCAGTAAGCTGTTTTGATTATTGATGGCGGTTCCAGATCAGTGGACCCCATGGTGATAATTAACAACCCGGAAAGTTGACAAAAAAACACATTATACTCTATTGTATTTGATAATCTACTATAATACAGTGTATGATCCTATAATCCACTGTACTACAGTAGATTTATACTAGAACAACCTTTCGTGAGGACACGAGCATGACAAGTATGGCGTGGCTTTTGAAGACGGCGTGGTGCAGATCAATGCCGCTCTATGCGACAAGGCTGCAGAGATTTTTGTTTACACTGGGGCGGGTCTAGACTTCTAGAGAACCAATTGTTGCCTGGGGTGCTGCCCATAGAGGACGTTGGAGTTGGGTGTTGGGACACACTTTCGGGAACGACCAATCTTGTTGGGATTGTAGGGCCCAGTCCGCGGCATGCGTTTGGGGAAGTATCCCAAGCTTTACGACACTTAGCAGACTTTCGCCAGGTTTGTGTCCAGGATTTTTGAACATTACTTCTTCCTAGTTGGAAAGCGTGACCTGTATCCTAACATTATTCGCAGGTCCACGCAGGTCCTATGGCCCAACCCAGCTGAGCTCAGAAACTAGTGGCATGTTAATATGAAGCCTAACAACACCAACGACAAAATCAGCGACAGCAAGCTTCCGACCAACAAGGCCAAGCTACGCCCCTAAACACGGCTCAGGCAACGACTTGTTCTGCGCGGTTCGCCGGCCTGTCGTTGTGGACCTTTCGAGATCCAAAGCGCTCCAGTTCATGATTCACAGGGTTTAGGGGTTTGGGGGTTCATGGTTGTGCTAGCCGCCATCCCTTTCATAGAACTTCATGATCAAGGATCCTAACAGACTAACAGAGACTCTCTGACGCCTAGGGGAGTTGCACCGCATAGTGGGCGTGATATTTCATGCAAGATTATACGTGACCCTGGTTGGGCTTGTAGTTGAAGGTTGTGAGGCATGCCGCAAGAACAACCGAGATTATACACAGGGAACAGCAGAAGCAATCCCGGTGAAAAACTGCTGCTCTTCTTGCAATCCATTTTTGTTCCGGGTAGGTTTACAGCGATCGGGATTGGGAATGATGGTTGGAGTTGGCTCGAGGGAAAGGGGGATGTTCAGCGCCCTGAGGAACTCTTCGGGGATGTGGAAAGGGGTGGCGCAGCAAACCTCCCACATAAGACAGGCCTTCTTCAGCTGAACTTGGTTTGCCATGAGCACTTGGTGGTTTCCATGAATGCGGGGACCCACGTCTACAACCCCACACGTGATGCTTCCCACTATGGCGACCCCAAAAGGGAGCCGCATGCCCAACCCCAGGACTGACTCACCGGGAGGTCGCTGAAGTCGCTGAGTCAACCTGTACAGATCTTACTTGGACCTTCCAAGGTGCATACTTCTTAGGGGTGGCTGCGCTTTCTTACTAGGCTCAACGGAGGGAAGCGCTTTGTGTAGGTTCCCAAAAACAGCTGCACAGGAGGGAGGGACCAGGTTGGTTTTAGGGTCCTGCGCGGACAGCTGAGAAGCTGATCGATTCAAGTTGATCATCGTGTCAGATGTGCGAAGACATGGCAGCGATGCTCTCCTTGCTGCACAAACATTACTACTGCAACTACCAATTTTATAACAGAACCAGCAGTATCCTGAAAACCTCATGTTGTCACTCCTGTCTTTATTCCAACAAGCAATGAACCCGTGCTCGTGGCTTTGCGACTTGCGACTTCATCGCTTGGTGAGATGATGGCGTGCCCATGATCCATGCAGTGCAAAAAGTTGCGAGCATCATGGGGGCAATATGGGGGCTTTCACTCTAAGATGAAATATCCCCATATAACCTCAATATATTACAGTAGTTTCCATTTGCGTTTCCATTACCCCAATATAGCCCTAATATGTACCCTGGCATCCTAACCCTCAAAGTAGCTTGCAACAGGGTACATCAACTTCAACTTGATGTGTGTTACAGAACTAATGATGATGCTCTTGGGACGACAGGAGTGTGAGCAGTCCAGCAACAGCCAACCTTTCAAAGGGGCACCTAAACCCTAAACCTTGAACCCTAAACCCCAAACCCTAAACCCCCACAATGTGCTATAACTGTTTGCACGAGCCTGTGCAATCCTGGCCACCTAGACCCCCTCAACAGTTTTGGGGAAGAACTTGAAGAAGAGACCAAAGGCTTCAGGGAACAGCGGTTTTTATTAAGGAGAAGTAGAGCTCAGGGTCCCTTGCGGAGCGTCCGTTGCAGGGTATGATCGACGGCTTCGATGCGAATGGCATCACCTACTTCAACAAGTATGCCACGCTCAAGGACAGCTGACTTGGGGCCTTCGAGGGTAATATGGGGTGAAATCAAGGGTACCGTTTTCGGGGTCCAGTGGGGACCCTATAATAAAGACTATAGTATTGGGGTGTCTATATTGGGGTCCCCCTCTTTGAGGAAATTACCCTGTAGTGCTGAAGGACTTCAGATTGAGACTTGGCACTTGCTGGCCAGCCCCTTCCCCTCTTGTGCAGGACCGCCACACCATCCAGCTTGACGATGGTGCCCACCTCAGATCGTGGCAATGCAGTCACGCGTTGGAAAAAGGTACAATCCTCTTAAGGCGGATAGGGCAAACTCAACACAGACCCCCACAGAATACCGTAATCCTTATTAATCATAACGACCTTCCAACAGGTACCCCTAACTTGGGAAACCGCGATTTGGTGAGGTCAGGGTGGGGTGCAGACGGTCACGGCCAATTACATCATGCTGGCCGCTGGCGGCCGCCCGAACAACGGCGGCTATCCAGGCTTGGTTTAGGGTGTGGGGTTTAAGGTTTAGGGCTTAGGGTTTAGGCTGCGCATGCCCATGGTTTAGGCGTTTAATGTAGGATTTAATCCAAGGGGGTTAGAAGGACTCGGGGGACAAATGGGGCTACATGCACAGACGTTGAGCTCTAGGGTTTGGATTGACGGCCAAAAGAGTTTCAGGGTGGCTTGTGCAAAAAAAGCGTAGCCAAGCTTGTCGGACCTTTTTTGGATTCATGCGGAACCTTTCCTAGAAGCTTCCCTGCATGCCAGAGAGAGCCAGAGCAGATTTTGAGGAGCTGATGAGCACTGCATCTCCTCGGATGCGGCGTGGCCAAGCAATTCATTTGTTGTTTTGGGGCCCTGAAGCTTTGGATTGTTGGGTAATCATGTGTTCGCGTGTGTTTCCAGTTGAGTATAGGCCTTTGAAGGGCCCTAGCTACCCCCAAAAAGACGCCAAATCTGCTCATGCCAGGGAAATATGCCCATGCAGCAAGGCAAAGGAGAAGACCATGGATCATCATGCCTGGATGACACAATATGGGCCCCTTTTTGGATATAGAAGATATAACGGCACATAATATTTAGGGATACTAAAAAGGGACCGTAATTTTGGGAACTACCCACAAGGTTGTTTGTAAGAAGGCTGCTGCAAAAGCAAGGCTTTTGAGCACAGCTATTTCCTTGGCATCTCCCAGCCGTTGCTCCCTCACAAACCCCTCAGTACGTAAATTTTGCAATTCCCCCACGCAATGTCATGCTTACCCCAAGCGCAGAAAAGAGATTATTCATGTAAAGTGGGCACTCGTGAAATAGTCGCTTGAACCTGCACATTGTCCACCCCGAGCCTCCAAAACGGGGGTTAAATGTTCGCTTCAACCCGCATGTGGGGGTTTCCCAAAATAATTAGAAGGACGTCTATATTGGGGTCCCCCAGAAATGGAATCGATCATGTTGTCCACGGAATGTCCATGGCTCAAGCGTGTGTTTCAATCTTTTGGATGGGCGCGTCGTATCCAGGCCTGGTTTGGTCATTTTTGGACGTAAGGTTTAGGATTTTCGTTTAGGGTTGGCCTTTTGGGGATTTTATTTCATTGTTCCCATTGCCCCCCACTGTTCTCAAGTAGCGTAGAGTAACTTGATGGTTGTTTGATGGTTTTTGGTAGGGAACAACGGAATATAATCCTTATATGATCCCTAGATTATATCGCTTTATTAGTTAATAACCCCATAAGGTGAAGGTTTAAGTTTCAGGGTTTAGTTTTGGACCCCGCTCCAGCTGAAATGTTGTTCCGCCAAGCTGATCTGGCCAAGGAACCTCATGGACGGCGAAGACGAAACCGACTTCGCGATTCCGAGCGAGCGTGAAGCCTCGCAGCACGTGTCCGCAGCTAGGATCAACACAGGAAAGACCAGGGCTTAGAATGGAAAGCAGTTCAGCTACAGTATAGCTCAACGAGGCATAGGGCGAAATATGGTAATTTCCCTGAATAGGGATACCCCAATATAGACCCCAATATATAGTATGCTCCTCATGAGAGGGACCCCCAAAAAAGTAACCCCAATTTTGACATGTTGGAGCTAAAGTTCTTGAAAATCTCGCTTATACACCTTGGAACCCTCGGATTTTTGAGCTCTGTTATGATCCGGACTAAAGGGACCAACGATTACCACCCTCTCCTTGCCACCGCCCGAAAGCATAGAATTGACCCTCACAAAAAAAGATTGCATTCTGGGTGCGTTTTCGGGTACCCTGACTCGGATGTTCATGGGTTTTGGTACAATCGGCCACATTTTTAGAAACTGCCCTAGAAGCCCAAGCTATATCCTAAAACCTCAACCTTGAACTCCTCAATACGCGACTGAGGCATGGGTGCAGGAATTTTCTAGCATCATTGAGTCGCAGATCAGCCTTCTCAACCGCATAGCGGAGAGCAGTCTTTGTGGCGACCCAGTCACTGGACTCTTCTTTCAAGGGTTCTGTGTAGGGCTCCAAGTCCAATTTCCACATTTACTTTATGTCAGCATATACTCGCCCAAGTCCTTGGTAATCCACGTTTTTCGGCATAGCTTCCTTTAAGGGATCCCGCGGCCCGGTATGCCTATGGGAAGTAAGGCCCCTTTCAGTAAATGTGATGTAGAAAAAAAGGTTCTACAAGTAGGTGTCCATGTTAAGCTCATAGGGGATCGCCCTCATGTCAGGGTCTCGACTACTGGGAGTGCAAGTTGTTGGCTGTCACAGGGCTGGATGGGGAAACAGCGGAGGAAGCGAGTCCTGAGGACACTTCTTTGTTGACTGTTCTGACTTGGAGGTTCATGAGTACCTACAAGTGGATAGCTTCTCTCATATCTGAGGTTATTGTACTTCTAGGCCCACTTACTCAAGGCCCTACTTCTAGCCACCCATGATCCTGCAAGCACAGGTAGCATCCTGCAACCTCAGCGCCGATGCGCAGCGAGATTTTCGAGCGATCAGACATGGGCATTGGGCGTACAGTACGAGTCAAAATGGCAGTCCAGGCACCCAGCTCGAGAAAAGCCCGAGCACACAGGAGCTGCTGCCTGACGGGAACCAGGTGATCCTACAAAAGAGCATGCCCTTGATGAAAGTCATCAGTGAGGAAAGAATGAGCCTACAAGTTTCCGATGTCTTTGATAGCACTGCATCAGAGCAGGTGACAAATCTCCGCAGATCTATTGACGAGTCATTCAAGAAGCCCCAGGTGCGCATATGCTTGGACGGCCTATTGAATCCTGACTGGGTGGGTAAGCTGGCCTGGGACTTTTTTGTTATGTTCCTGGTGCTGACGGATGCTATGATCTTGCCTTTTCAGCTAACCTTCAAGGAAAACGCGACTGGATCTGACCAGTTTGATAACACATGGCTCTGGCTTACCACAATTGTGTTCGCGATTGATATCTGTGCCACGTTTAACACCGCCTGCAACGCGCCGCAACAGCCACCAGGAATTTTTGAGACAAGCAGAGTACAAATTGCAAAGCTGTATTTTCGCGGATGGTTTTTGATCGACTTTGGAAGCACTGTCCCCTGGGCCCAGATCTCAGAGGCTATGTTTGCAAATGAATCTTCGTCCTCCTTGACAAGACTGACAAAAGTTGTGAAGTTTATCCGACTGCTGCGCTTAATGCGCATGCTCCGCCTTGCCAAGTTAGCCGCCATTTGGGAGAACCTGGGATTCATTTGGAAGTCGATTTGGTGATCTAAGGCCTGCAGGTTGTAGGCGGGCCTATCTGTTTTCTAGCCTTTTAGCAGAGTCATCCACTTTGTTCACCGAAAGTGCTGACTCAGGCCCGCAACACCACGCATCTAGTAGCCTGCAATGCCTAAACCCACACCCAACATCAGGCGCGACCTTCTCACTAGGTCTATGACATGCTATGGCTTCGCAGGCACTTGCACAACAGACACATGAAATCCTTTTCCCTGGCGCAGCGCTCGTTCAAATCACAAACCCAGCTCAAAGGCTCCTCAATGCTCACCTTGAAACCAATTTTTTGAGAAGAAGCGCCACCCAGGAGGGTAGAGACGCGAATCGGCTCTATCTTCCTGATTCAATGCATTTCTCTCCTCCGAGTCTTGGGCGTAGCTTGCCTATCCATCAGCAGTTATCCTTTCCAGCTTTGACTGGGCGAGTTTGGGGCTTCATTGTCGGGTGGTAGGGTATAGGTCTAGGATACGAAGCCTTCAAGTCTTTGATGGACAGAGGATCATATATTGCTGCATATCATTTTCAAGAATAGGGAGAGACCCCGAATATACATGTCCTCAATAAAATAGGGACCCCACCAGAAAGGCCTAACGTCAGGAAAGCCTAAACCCTATATGCCCCCCCAAAAACCCCTACAGCCCCGTTCAAGCACCCATAAATTTGGGAAACCCTCAAATTACGAAGCCTGCTCCCTTTTTTTCATGATGATTGGAGAAGTCAGGTCGTGGTAGCAATGTGTCACTGGTGCCTTGGCTATGTCCACGTTCGGGTTTGGGGTTGTGAGGCAGCAGCGTACCACCTAGATAGCTTAGGTGAAACCCCCCACCCAGTAATAGGGACTATAAGGGCTAATAAGGATTACATTAGGGTCTCATTGTATTCCTATTACACCACCATTACAGGGTGGGGGGTCCTAATAGAAAGCCCGCGCTTTTGGAGGTCACAGTTTAGAGCTTCCAAATCTTAAGCGGTCACAAATGAAGTTGCCTCTGCAAAGAGGGGTCACTTTGCAAAGGGTTTTACGTTGATGTGAAGTTGTCCAGACTTGAGCAGTCGCCATTCCTGGCTACCCGGTACTCCTATTACCTTCGGAAGTATGTTAAGCTTTATTGCCCCAAAGAAATTACAACTAGCATGTCCAACATAGGTCTACGGGGATCATAGTAACCAGCACTGTACCACTACGCACAGAGCAATTCCTGCGGCCAATCTAATTCTTGCTGACACCATGACAGAGAGCACCATGAAAGTAAGAATTGAAAACAATGCCGTAATCTGCATGCAGGGAAGAGTTCTAATCTAGAAGCCACGAGCTGAAAGGAATAACTCAGACAAAGTCATCCTCCTCAATGGTTCAGACGGAGTTGCTGAACTTCAACCTTCAGCCCTGCACCCTTCAAAGCTGAACAGGGAACCCTCAAACAAGCCCACCCCTTTTGAATTCTAGGACATTACAACAGATGTCTACAAGGCCACTTCATGCGGAACCCCAAGAACTTTGATGGTTGTAGCTTAGCGGCCTTGTAGTGAGCACTCCAACTATAGCAAGGTGGGAGGACACTATACCAACTATTTGGGGTTTAGGGTTTGGGGTTTAGGTTTTGGGGTTTGGGATCTTAGGGTTTAGGGTTTACAGAGGTTTAAGCTAGGCGCGAGGAAAACGTCAGATTTGGGTATCTGCTTCAAGTCTTAGGAAAAGAGATGAGGAGAAGAGGATGTTGGTCACCCCAATCCCTATGACATCGACACTATGAAATGTCATGTGAGAGTGATAGAGTGCTTGGTTTGGGTGTTGGGGGGTACTTGAAGCCACTTATTGCCGGGGTGCTGTTAAGGAATTCAAGTTAAGCTACTACAATAAGGCAACCCTATGATATACCATATTCCCACATTATGGTAGCTTATTTCAAGTTCCTTGACAGCAACCCAATAGACCCAAAACCCTAAACCCTAAACCCTCAACCCTAAGCGAGGGGCCTCACCATAAGAGCTATGTCTAAACTCCTTCAAAGAGGTGAATATAGGGGATTATATAGGGGACTACCATAAGGGATATTAAGGGGGATACTAGGAGTTTAGACACTAACCCCTATAA